AGCGGCAGGCAAGGGCAAAGTGGTCGAGACTACGTTTGATCGATTCTGTTGACCGATGAATCAACGTTTTATCAGTCTATTTCACTAAAGACCGAACTACGAAGATTCACCTAAAGATGAAAACGGCCACTCATGACTCTGCACGACGTGTCCAGCTTCGTCAAACGATGGTAAACTTTGAAGCCTACACTTTGATATGGCTCGATGAAGATGTCAATCAGACACCCGAACATCTACGACTACGGAAAGAACTACGTCGTGTAATTACAGTTTAGGTCAGTTGAAGACTTCTAGATAAACACTTCCCATGATCTCCCGACGATTCTACTTCAGGGGTCAAAATGAGGGTAGCCTCTTGACAAGGTTCCTGTACAGACAGAAATCGCAAAGCTGAAGTAGACGAAATCTTAAGTTTTTTTAAAAAGACAGTAAGGTCGTAAGAGGAACTCAGGACGTATGGTAGAACTTTGGCCGTCCTCTCGTACAAAGTTGAGGGATGAATGTAGTCTGTAATATTTTTTTGGGTTTCATAATACAAAAATGAAACAAGAAATTATTTCCCTTATTTCTCTTGTTCTGTTCACGTTTTTAGATGTTGCTGTTAGTGTAATAACATTGAGAAGATTAGGAAGTGAAATAACTACACTACAGGTGAAGCGACAAGAGAATATATCTCGATGCAAAGAGCCCATGTCGCACGTTTTTTCATAATACCGCCTATTCCCGACCGGTCAAGATATAACCGCCGCTAAACCGTACCGTTCGGTAGACCGACTGGTTTAACGACGGCTTTTGTTGTACGCCGGTCACCGATGGGTTTTATTGACACCGCGGTGAGCAAAAAGCCGATCGGTTTGAAAATGAAACGATGATAGGCCATCTATCGAATGACTCTCAAGTACGAAGAAAAGAAAACACAGCGGCAGGCAAGGGCAAAGTGGTCGAGACTACGTTTGATCGATTCTGTTGACCGATGAATCAACGTTTTATCAGTCTATTTCACTAAAGACCGAACTACGAAGATTCACCTAAAAATGAAAACTACGAAGATTTGCACTCTGTCTGTTTTGTGTAGAAAGTGTTTAATTTGAGACAGAAAGTATCAACTCGTTAACGATATTTTAAGATATGTCGCTTTTTCAATAACAACTGAAGCGGCCACTCATGACTCTGCACGACGTGTCCAACAATGACAACTCAATAAGCGATAAACATTTTGCGAAAGATTGAAAAACCGACTTTTTTAGCGCTTGAAGTTTCAAAGCGAAGTGCATAGGTCGATTAAGAAATTATTTTACGGTGAAGAAAAGCTTCGCAACTTAAAAGGTCCGTTCTTATTAGGCACATTTACTCTATAGAAGACTGGTCTTTAGCTTTGAACATCGTACAAAAGCTCAACTTTTACGGGAAGAATGTGTTTCAACCTTTTCTATGCTTGAATGTTTATTAAGAATTCCAATCCGTCATCCATTGATTATTCTTCACAATAGTGATCTTGTAAAAAGAAGAGAATCGATCCCGACAAGAACCTAGAACGTAATTAATAGAAATATGGTCACAAGCTTTTGCACAAGAGTCTTCAAAATCAAAATCACTACAATTACTCTACATTTAGTTTTGGATTTTATTTGTGATCATTAAAGTTTCAATTTTTCCTACTATGTTCAAAAATCTTAGAAACAATATAAAATTGTAATAGAAATCACATAACACCATCAAAAAGAAAACGAACTAAAATAGAACAGGTTTCGTGTTCAGTATCAGGTAAGTCCGACTTCAAACTTTTTAAGTAGTATAAAAGTATTATGTTACTAACTTTGTATTGCCTCTTTCTGTTGTAATGATTAATAGTTCGTAAAATATTTCTTTCGATACGTTGAGTATCTGGATGATTTACTGGTAATGACTTTTTACAAATTGAAAGTGCTTTGTTGAGGTAACCAAGTGCTTTCTCATAGAGCCTCATATTATGATACACGGCTGCTATGCTATTGTAGGCTGCAGCAAAGTCCAGATGATTTTCGTGCAGATGCTTTTTTTGAATGTCTAATACTTTTTGATGATAGCTTAGCGACAAATCATAGTGATATGTAGCTCTGTATACTCTAGCAATTACTCTATAAATATAGGAACGTTGCAGATGTTCCTCAGGCAACAGATCAAGTGCTTTCTGTTCATATTCTAATGCTAAATCATAGTCTTTCTTCCAATAATAAGCTTCCCCAATGTCCTGGTAAGCCACAGGAAGAGGAGCATCTTCACCACATTTCTGACATAATTTAAGGACATGTTGACAATAGATCAAGGATTCGTCATACTCCTTAAATGCAGTTGCAACTCCACCGAGTATACTGTAACAAAGTCGTATAGCCGGTTCATCTAACAGTGAGTGTTCATTCAATAATTGTTGAACATAGCTTCTGGCTTTTTCATACTCACCTTTGGCATGTAATAACCATCCTAAGGATGCAAAACAATTCTCACGAACTCCTGCTTCCCTCTTCATCTGTTCCATTAAATCTATCAGTTCATAATCCTCATCTAAACATAATGCCAATGTAGCAATCCACATTTGTTTGTGCTGATCAAATTGTACTTGTTCAATTTTAAAAATTCAAGCTAACATTATTAGCACCTCATCTTCTCTACCAAAGTGACTCAAATGACTAATGGGAGAGTATGGTTTCGTATTGGAGAGGGGAGTATCACCCGATGGAAACTGGAGTTTTTCCAGAAAATCCGTAGAAGAACATTTCAGAACATTCTTGGCCAAAAATGCTTCGATTTTCTTTTTCGATGTTCCATCTCTGGTTTAAATTTTGCTCCGATCTGACACCGGCTTCCTTGATTTCCAAGCAAGTCAAAAAAGAGGGGAGTACCCTTCAACAGACAGCAAAATAAAGCAACAGATTAAAAATAAGATACATACTAAGCTAAGAGAAAGTATTCAAGGAGACGATGCGAAATGTCTACTTGAGCAGAGATAAAAGATCTAAGCAGACTTTCTTCTACAGTAGGAGCTAGATATTGCTAAACATCAGTCTATGGTGCCATATGAACGGTACCAGAAACCAGTATCATCGATGCCAATCAACCACTTCAATGTTATCATGCACATTTATTCAATAAAATGAGCCTATTAAAAACTCCATGATCATTGTGTTATTTATTTTTTGTTGATTTTAAAACACCAACAAAACAACGTCAGGATCTACTGAGATTTGAACTCGGATCGCCAGATTCAGAGTCTGGAGTGCTAACCATTACACCATAGAACCATGCCATCTGCTTTGCACAGTCTGACTTTGAGAGTTAAATGGTGCAGAAGCCAAAGACCACAATATGTGCTCAAGAAATGTAATCATTGATACTGTCAGTTGGATTGATATTGGTTAGGGATGTTCGGTTCTGCATTGTGGAATCTAATGATCTATATGGATTTAGTTTTACTAACGATATTTTTTTCATTTCTCGTGTGAATGCACTTGAGACCAAGTATTTAGAAAATTACTAGGATAAGCAATGTCCCGAGTACTTGGCGTTTTTTGCAAGTAAACAAGGTATTTATCAAGTAATTTAATAAGTATAAGTACTAGATAAGTACTTTATCAAGTATTTGGCGAGCAACCAAATGCAAGTATCCGAAGTTCTTCGAAGTGCTTGGCACGTATTAAATGTAAAAATGCTTGAGAAGTGCTTAACCAAGTACTTTAGAAAATTTGCAAGTAGCGAAGTACTTGATCTCAAGAACATTCACCAGGGTTATAATTTCAATACATTTGAATTAAATATAACTGATAGTCAAATTTCAGATTTAACAACAAATGATACATTTTATCTTTGAGTAGTTTGACATATTATGCCAGAATCTCATAAAAGATTGTTGAAACGTGATGTGGAATGGCGTAATAGTCACAAAAGCAAGGTTTTCAGACAAAAAAGTTTCTTTTCAAAAGAATGTTCTTTCTGAAAAGCTCTGTTCTTTCGATAACAGGTGATTATTAGATATACGGTTTCAGTCGCAATAAATCAGAAACTGTTAAAATAGTTTTAACTCTATATCTCAATACAGCAAACACAATTAATTCGATAAGGTTGACGTTACTCATCTTCAACAATATTGATAAAGTTAAAACATCATCTTCAATTCCAAAAACAACTGAAAACTAGTAGCTGAAATAAGAACTATTGTCTGTGTTTTACTATCACGTTCGATATTGGGAAAAAGGAAGAGTTTTAAGTTACTATTACATTCAAAGAATTACAATAGAAAGCCTAGTGAAAGACGTATTGGAGGGCAGATTCGAAGATGAAAGAAGACGTGGAAGACCTCCAGCGATGATGTTAGACGATATTCTAGGGAATGAGTCCTATGCAACCATACAACGTCGCGCAATGGATAGAGAAGGATGGAGGAAATGGATGCCTCGAACCTGCCCTAGGGCAGAACACTAGTGATGAGTTTGTTATGATATTGTCTCCGTCAT